CACCTATGGGCACCTTATATTTGACAAGAGGCAAGAATATGCAATGGGGTAAAGAGAGCCTCTTCAGTAAATGGTGCTGGGAAAACTGGACAGCCACATGTAAAAGAATGAAATTAGAACACCTCCTAACACCATACACAAAGATAAACTCAAAGTGGATTAAGGACCTAAATGTAAGATCAGAAACTATAAATCTCTTAGAGGAAAACAAAGGCAGAACACTTGATGACATAAATCCAAGCAAGGTCCTCTATGACCTACCTCCTAGGGTAATGGAAATAAAAACAAAAGTAAACAAGTGGGACCTAATTAAACTTAAAAGCTTCTGTACAGCAAAGGAAACTACAGGCAAGGTAAAAAGACAACCCTCAGAATGGGAGAAAATAATAGCAAATGAAACAACAACAAAGAATTAATTTCCAAAATACACAAGCAACTCATACAACTCAATACCAGAAAAACAAACAACCCAATCAAAAAGTGGGAAAAAGACCTAAACAGACATTTCTCCAAAGAAGACATACAGATGACTAACAAACACATTAAAAGATGCTCAACATTGCTCATTATTAGAGAAAGGCAAATCAAAACCACAATGAGATATCACCTCAGACCAGTCGGAATGGCCATCATCAAAAAGTCTACAAACAATAAATGCTGGAGAGGGTGTGGAGAAAAGGGAACACTCTTGCACTGTTGGTGGGAATGTAAATTGATATAGCCACTATGGAAGATGGTATGGAGAATCCTTAAAAAGCTAGGAATAAAACCACCACATGACCCAGCAATCCCACTCCTGGCATATATCCTGAGGAAACCAAACTTGAAAAAGACACATGTATCCCATTGTTCATTGCAGCACTATTTACAATAGCGAGAACATGGAAGCAACCTAAATGTCCATCAACAGATAAATGGATTAAAAAAGTTGTGGTTCATATACACAATGAAATATTACACAGTCATAAAAAGGAACATATTTGAGTCAGTTCCAATGAGGTAGATGAACCTAGAACCTATTATACAGAGTGAAGTCAGTCAGAAAGAGAAAGATAAATATCATATTCTAATGCATATATATATATATACAAAATCTAGAAAAATAGTACTGAAGAATTTACTTAAAGGGCAGCAATGGAGAAACAGACATAGAGAATAGACTTGTGGACATGGGGAGAGGGGAGGAGAGGGTGAGATGTATGGAAAGAGTAACATGGAAACTTACATTACCATATGTAAAACAGATAGCCAATGGGAATTTGCTGTATGGCTAAGAAACTCAAACAGGGGCGCTGTATCAACCGAGAGGGGTGGGGTGGGGAGGGAGATGGGAGGAAGGTTCAACAGGGAGGGGATATATGTGTACCTATGGCTGATTCAGGTTGAGGTTTGACAGTGTAAAACAACAAAATTCTATAAAGCAATTATCCTTCAATTAAAAAAATTTTTTAAGCAATGAATTAGGAATCTTAGAATGACTAAATAAGGGGACAGGATGGGTCTTGTTGTTGGTTTTTGGTCTTTAAGTCATGTCAGACACTTTGTGACCCAATGGACTACGGCACACCAGGCTCCTCTGTCCTCCAGCATCTCCTGGAGTTGGCTCAAATTCATGTCCATTAAGTCGGTATGCTATCTAACCATCTTATCCTCTGCTGCCCCTTTTTCTTTTGCCTTCAATCTTTCCCAGCATCAGGATCTCTTCCAATGAGTTGGCTTTTCAAATCAGGTGGCCAAAGCATAACAGCTGACTTGTAAACAAGTCACTGAAAAGCAGTTTACTGAAAAGCTCTATCCACAGGACTTGTCTTTATTTGACCTAATGTAATGCTTAGTTTATGCAAACAACCCTAGTCTTGAGGCACTTGTCCCCCCCCCCCAAAAAAAGAGTGTCATTGTTTAATATCACAGCTGCCTGAGGCAGTGTTACTATTGGGCTAGTAAGAGGCTGACCAATAATTTAAGAATAACTGGAGAATAAGATAGAAGCTTTATAAAGAATTCTGAGATATTTCTGGGAATCTCAAAGGTCACAAGCATGTGAGCGTGCACATGCCCAAAAAAGACCTGAGGAGGCTGTAATTCCATACCTCAGATTGAACTTGAGGTCCTGCATAAGCAGGAAGTGAAGGCTAAGGCAAGGATTGTAAACAGCCTGCATGAGCATTTAAGGCATGTCCCAACACATGCATGCATGTGTGTACACACACACACACACACACACACACACACACAAAGGAAGGGAGACTAATCAGTTCAAGAAGAGTTCTTAGTTCATACCATATGACCCAGCAATCCCACTTCTTGGCATACACACCCAGAGACACGTGCACCCCAATGTTCATCGCAGCACTGTCTATAATAGCCAGGACATGGAAGCAACCTAGATGCCCATCAGCAGACAAATGAATAAGGATGCTGTGGTACATATACACCATGGAATATTACTCAGCCATTAAAAAGAATTCATTTGAATCAGTTCTAATGAGATGGATGAAACTGGAGCCCATTATACAGAGTGAAGTAAGCCAGAAAGATAAAGACCAATACAGTATACTAACACATATATATGGAATTTAGAAAGATGGTAATGATAACCCTATATGCAAAACAGAAAAAGAGGCACAGATGTATAGAACAGACTTTGGGACACTGTGGGAGAAGGCGAGGGTGGGATGTTTCGAGAGAACAGCATCGAAACATGTATATTATCTAGGGTGAAACAGATCATCAGCCCAGGCTGGATGCATGAGACAAGTGCTCGGGCCTGGTGCACTGGGAAGACCCAGAGGGATCGGGTGGAGAGGGAGGTGGGAGGGGGGATCGGGATGGGGAATACATGTAAATCCATGGCTGATTCATGTCAATGTATGACAAAAACCACTACAATAATGTAAAGTAATTAGCCTCCAACTAATAAAAATAAATGGAAAAAAAAAGAGTTCTTAGTTTAATCATTTGTTGACCACTAATCATCAAGCAGACTTCAGTGGCCATGGGCAACAAAAAATACAGACTTTATAGAGTTAGTCCAGGAAAAGTCACTAAACAAACAAATAGTAATAATAACAAAAACACAACAAACTTGATGAGGGGGAAATCTCATTTCCAGAATTATCACATTACAATATTTAAGATTATATTATTTTAAATGTTCACTTTTTAACAAAAACTTTCATGACATGCAAAGAAACAAGAAAGAATGGCTCATACTCAGAGGGGAAAGGGAGTCAATAGAAACTATGATTCTGAGTTATTTTCTTTTTGGTTAAAAACCGTCTCTGAGGAAGTGCAAGTGTTAACTTACTAGACCAAGACATGAAACAGCTGTTATAAATGTGATCAAAGGACTAAAAGAGACCACGCCTAAAGAATTAAAGGTAAGCATGAGAATGATGTATCAATAAAGAAAATCTATTTTTTTAAAAAGAACCAAATAGAAATTCTGGCCTTAAAAATGAAAAACAGAGGGGCTCACAGCAGATTTGAATTGGCAGAAGGAAGAATCAGTGAACTTGAAGATGGGTCAGTTAAGATGATCCAGTCTAAGCAACAGAAAGACAAAAGAGTGAAGAGAAATGAACAGAGCCTCAGAGATAGGTGGGACACCATCAAGCTACATATGATAGGGATACATATGTATGATAGGAATCCTAGGAGGAGAGGAGAGAAAGACAGAGGAAGAAAGGATATTTGAAGAAATAGCCATAAACTTCTCAAACGTGAGGGAAATCTGCATCAAATCTCTACATCTAAGAAGCTCCACAAACTCGAAGCAGTACAAACCCAAAGAGGCCCTCATTTAGACAGTGCAGTCAAACTGTCAAAAGAGAAAGAAAAAGAGGGAATCCTGACTGCAGCAAAAGAAATGATTCATTACATTCAACCCTGTCCCCAGTCCACTGAAATGTTATTCCCTGGAAGACTGCTCCTGGACACAATCCAGGTAGAATGCGAGGTAACAATCATTTGCAAGTCATCAACAATGGCAGCCTATTGATGAAGTCAAAGATGGAAGATGAAGTCTTTCCAGGTTCTTCTTCCACTCTTCAGAGTTTCTCATTCAGGGTCCCATCTGGGCCCTCTCCACCCTGTGAGTCAGGACTGAGAGGACATAGAGGGGTCTTTGCAAACAGTGTAGGGAGCCTGTCAAAGTGACATCACTAGAGATCTGATGTGACAGTGACTGCCTGCCCTCTGAAGGCTACAGAACTGACCCAGTTGGGAAACAGCTAAGCAGTAAGTAACTGTTGGCTTTAGATTGGGTAGGGTTAGTTCTAAACATAGAGTGATATATAACATTTACTTTAAAAATAAGTTCCTAGCCTTGACTTATAAGATTGAAGATCAGACATCTGTCTCTGACTCATGTTTTTATACCCATATAGACACACATTTAGTTTTATACTGTACTTTATATCTAAATGGGCATCTATGTATTTGACATGGTACTTATTTTATCTCTTTCTCAAAGATAATTGAAGTGGTAATAAGGGAAACTTTGGGGATAAATTTTTTCCAACATTTTAACCCCAAAAGACTGCCATTCAGTCAGCTGATGTTTAGTGAACATCTATTACACACCAGATGTGCTAAACACAGCAGACAGATGGGAGATGAAGTGTTTCTAGCAGGAAGGTGGCAGGACAGGCTGAGGTGGGGTGGGTAGGGAGGATGTTTGCTCAGTCTGAACTTGGTGGAGGAGTTTCAGGTTTCAGAAGAAGCTGCCTAAGAGAGGGGACTCCTTATCTGATTCTTCAAGTGTTACCTGAATGAAGGGAAGTGGATTTGGGCAAGACTATCCAGGGAGAGAGAACAACATGGCATAGAAGCAGGGAAAACTCAACATTTGAGGAATTCCAGGTGACTAGAACACAGGTGTCAGGGGAGATGGCTGAGAGGTAAGGCTAAACTGTTTGTAGGGGTGGATCATGACTGTCCTGGCATGCACTATAAGAAGACTGAAAATGATACAAAATAGTAACTATAGTCATCCTTATTTTCTATTTATTGAGGACTTGCTTGTGTCAGGCACTCTACTTGGCACTCAACATACCAATTTATTCCCCACAAGAGCCCTATGAGGTAGGTTCTGCTTGAAATGGATAAAATATATTCCGTTGGGAAAAGGAGTCCACAAATAGCCTAGAACCATCAGGGGAGTGGCAGGAGAACATAATGGCCTGGCGTTATAGACGTCAAGAGGGAAGGACTTTCAAAAAGGATTCATGTCCAGTGCTGCCAAGAAGTCAGTAAGGTAAGGACTGAAAACTAGTGGGTCATTGATGATCTGAAGAGACAACATTTTGGTCAACTTAGGGGGCACAAGATTGCAGAAGGATGATGGTGCAGATGCAATACAGGAATGGGGACGGCAGTTGTCAACTGCTCTTTTAAGAAGACTATTTAGAGAGAACTAGCAATAGGGAGTCAGAGGACCTTGTTTTGGAGGGGTTGCTGTGTTGGTTGGTTTTAAGATGAGGCAGACTTGAGCATGTGTTCGTGTGCTGAGAGGTCAGATTGAGCAGAGGGCAAGATGTGGACGACTCATGAGTTGAGGCATCGCTGATGAAACTAAGGTCACCATGCAGTTGGGAGGAGATAGGGGAAAGCCTAGCCTTGCCTGGGAGCCCAGAAAGCATTCAAGATGGAGGTGGACGCCTAGAGAGTGAGCTGGAGGGGAGTTCCAGCTCACGGACCTCTGTTTTCTCCACAATGCTTCTGAGAACAAGAGGTGGCCCTAACTACTTTCCTTATGATGTGTGTATGTCTACAAAACACTTGTCCAGTGAGTGTCATAAGCAGATTTCCTCTGCTTCTCCCCACGTGGGGAGTTAGATTCAGGGGGAAAACTGTGTACAGCGGGCCCTCAGTGCTCACTGACCTTCAGTATGTAGTCTGCTCTCTCCTCAAGGGACTCCGTGCACTGGGCCAGCTCCCCTGTGTTGACTTTCCACTCAGCTTTGCGTTCTCTCTTCATTAAGGCAGACACGCTCAGTGTCTTTGAGGAGACCAGCCCTAAAAGTAGAGCCCACTAAAAGCAATGACTGATGTTAGACCTGCAGAAAGTGTGAGGCCAGAAAGAGTCACAAAATAACACCTGGGGATCACATCGACGGGGTGAAATGTAGAACTGGGTGGTTATTGGTATCTATGGCATAAAGGAAAGAGGAATTTATTAAACTGTTTCAAGCGAATTCTCTAGCTTGTGCAAACATTGCTTATGGAATAAGAAATAAAACTCTAGTGTCATTTGGAAGGTGGTCACTTTCTGCATTGGGAGATGTACTGGAAAAGCTGCAGAAGAAAGACAGAGAATCCTGCACAAATGTTTACTGTGCAGGGACTCACTGGGGACAGACAGGTCCCACACAGAAAAGAAGACTTCTGTAAACTTCGTTTTGTTGTCTTTCGAAAAATAGATTATTGTCTTCAGTGATAACATCCAATGTTTCTACATGTGCTTCTTCGTGTTGGTGTCTATATTTTCCTTTAGCTGTAGGGTTGCATGAGGAGGGAAGATTTCATTTGAAATCAGTGACCAAGTTGCTAAATATTTTTGCTATCAGTTCAATGCTGGATACAAATGTCATCTCTCCCTTTCACACACACACACACATACACACGCACACACACACACACACACACACACATGCTGGCTATGTGTTCTTTCCTTCTCCCTCACTCCCTGCTCCTGAGTCAGAAAGTAGAAAAAGAGGGAGAAAGTCTGCAAATCTCCTGAAAGGACTCACGATGCTCCATGGTGTTGTGGTGCTTGGCAAGGCCCACTGTGTGAGGCCAGACCCTGGAGGATGCTTCAAGAAAGCTTGACGTCGAAATTCAAGCCCTTCTCTTCCCTGCACTCTAACTGCTGTCCCATATTCAGACCTTTTCCTCATCTCTCAGCCCACCTTTGTTCCCGGAATTTTTGTGGATGGTTCTGATACCTTATACATCAGATAACGGCAGTGTGTGGAAGTCTCCTCCCCTCTTCCCTCATTCCTTCCTTCCTTCTTTCCTCCCCGCTATCTTTATTTCTTCCTCCCTCCCAAGCTTTTATTTCACTGTGAAACACAGTGCATTTACTGGAGCATATAAAATATCCATAGACAACTTAGCACTTTTTAAAAAATAATGAATACACACACCAGTGCCACCAAATAAAGAAATGGAATATGACTACTAGCCCCTCAGAAGCCCGCTCATATACCCACCCAATCACGACCCCTAGTATCCTATCTCCCCAACCCCTCCCTCACACACAAGTAATTACTATTTTTTAAAAGTTTTATTTTATATTGGAGTTGATGTGGTAGGTTCAGGTGTATAGCAAAGTGATTCAGTTATACACACACATATTCTTTTTCAGATTCTTTTCCCATATAGGTTATTATAGAATATTGAGTAGAGTTCCTTGTGCTATACAGTCAGTCTCTGTTGGTTACCTATTTTATGAATGTGTGTTAGTTGTTCAGTCATGCCCGACTCTTTGCAACACGATGGACTGTAGCCCTGCAGGCTCCTCTGTCCATGGGATTCTCCAGGCAAGAATACTGGAGTGGATTCCCATTCCCTTCTCCAATTTTACACATACTGGTGTGTACATGTTAATCCCAACCTCCTAGATAATTACTATCTTGATTTAATGGGATTTACTCCCTTGCTTGTCTCTTTTGTGTTATCCCCTAAGTATGCTGCCCTAAACAATAGAATGTAATTTTGCCTGTTTGAAAAATTTTCCTTCAAAGTCTGAACCAGCTTCTTTCTTTCAGCATTCTGTTTACAAGGTTCATCTACATGGTCACATGTAGCTATGCTCTCCATTGCAAGAACAGACCACTACATTTGAACTCCATGTTATTGCTAGGGTCACTGGATTGCTTACATTGTTGGGCTCTATGAACAGAACTGCTTGAACATTCCTGTGCACATAACCTGGACATAGTTCATGTGTTTCCTCAGGGCACATATCTGGGAGCAGACCTGCTGGGTCATAATGTGTCATTATTGTTCACTTACTGGCTACCGTGTTAACAGTTCCTCTTTCCCACATCCTAGAAAACACTGTGTCCTCTTTCACATCTTGGTTTCAAACTTATGTTCCCAAAATAGACCTGCCTACTAAACTGACTCCTGTAGGGCCAAGGGTTTCATCTGTTTCCCACATGGCTTGTAACAGAGGACATGCACATGTGTGGCCCCCTTCTTTGAGCACACCCATCAGAAGGTTATGAGCAACTCCCCAGTGAGAGGGCCAAAATCTCAGATATATTCTGGTTGATGTAACACAAATAAATCACTATGTGGCTATGGCACTTGATTATTCAAAAGCAAAACAAAACTGTCATATGTCTTAATTGATCATATCACACTTGTGTGCCCTGGCATCCTAGTTGAGAATCATTGACCTTGTTGGCCTGTTATTTCAGTGGCCTTGAGCTTTGAAGGTACTGACCACCTCTTCAGCCCAAAGCCATGATCATCCAGCATCTTTCCCTACCAAAGCTTGTCCCTCAAAAATACAACCAGGAGGACAAAGAGAACAATGGTTAAAATTTCCCAATAATGGACCCTCCTACCCTGTTGGTGGGAATGCAAACTGGTACAGCCACTATGAAGAACAACATGAAGGTTCCTTAAGAAACTAAAAACAGAGCTAGCATATGATCCAGCAATCCCATTCCTAGGCATATATCTAGAGGAAAACATAGTTCAAAAGGATACAAACACCCCATTGTATCCTTGCAGTATCACTGCAGTACTGCTTACAACAGCAGGACATGGAAGCAACCTAAATATCCATTAACAGAAGAATGGATAAAGCAGAAGTGGTAGATACATACAATGGAATATTTAGTTCAGTTCAGTTGCTCAGTTGTGTCCAGCTCTTTGCGACAATGGAATATTACTCAGTCATAAAAAAGGATGAAATAATGCTATTTGCAGCAACAGGGATGCCCCCAGAGATTATCATACCGATTGAAGTAAATCAGAGAAAGACAAATATTATATGATATCATTTATATGTGGAACCTTAAAAAAAAGATAAAATGAACTTATTTACAAAACAGAAACAGACTCACAGACTTAGAGAACCAACTTATGATTACCATGGGGTAAGGGTTGGGGGGAGGGATGGATTGACACATACACACTGCTATATATAAAACAGATAACCAATAAGGACCTGCTGTGTAGAATAGGGAACTCTGCTCAATATTCTGTAATAACCTAAATGAGAAAAGAATTTGCAAAAGAACAGATACATGTAAATGTAAAAAAGATGTAAGATTAAAAAAAAAAAGCTCAGTAGTGCCACACAGACTCCAAGGCTTGCCCTCTGGTATGCTGTATTAAAGGGTGTGTTCTTTCCCGTGTCCCCACAGGGTTGGACCAGCTGACCTGATCCTGGCCAGTGGCCGGTCCTCCATCACAGCCACCCCGCCATCCTGGCCAACCGGGATTATGTTTCCCTTCAAGGTGAGAAAATGGATGGGGCTTGCCTGCTTCCGCTCGCTGGTGGTCTCCTCCTCCAGCATTCGCCAAAAGAAACTAATCGACAAGCTCCGGGAAGAAAAGGCCTTCCGCGAGGAGATGAGACACTTCCGGGAGAAGATCGAAGACTTCCGGGAAGAGATGTGGGATTTCCGGAGCAAGATGCGTGCCTTCCGCAGTGAGATCTTGGGCTTTTGGGAAGAGGAGAGGCCTCTCTGGGAAGAGGAGAAAACCTTCTGGAAAGAGGAAAAAGCCTTCTGGGAAATGGAAAAATCTTTTCGGGAAGAAGAGAAAGCCTTTTGGAAAAAGTACCGAATCTTCTGGAAGGAAGACAGGGCCTTCTGGAAGAAGGACAACGCCTTGTGGGAAAGAGACCGGAACCTCCTTCAGGAGGACAGGGTCCTATGGGAGGAAGAAAAGGCCCTGTGGGTGGAGGAGAGAGCCCTCCTGGAGGAGGAGAAGGTCCTCTGGGAAGATAAGAAGTCCCTCTGGGAGGAGGAGAATGCCCTCTGGGAGGAGGAGAAGGCCACCTGGGTGGAAGGGGTTGTTCCGATTGTGGAGCAGCTGGTGCTGGAAGGTGGGCACCGCCAAGTCAGCGGCAGGCCCCGGTTGCCAGCCTCCTCCCGGGGCAGGGCGTGAGCACAAGAGGCACTGGATTGGGACTCGAGTGGAGTCACACTCAGGGTGACCCCCGCATGCCTAAAAAAAATATGCTCTTATTTGTCTCCTGGCTTCAAAAGATCTAATAAAGTCCAGAGGAGAGGTCTGGAAAACCAACTTTTGTAGGGAGGGCCAGCTGCATTTTCCCAGGTCTTGTGATTCTCCGAGGTCACCGTCACATCCTCCACGGGCTATAACTGCTGTCCCTAGGGCTCGGTCCCCGGCAGCTCCGGTGAACCCGGCAGGAGTGGGTGGGTGTGAGTGGAGGCCCTGGGCTCGCCTTAAAAGAGTCAGAAATGAAGTGGGGGGAGGTGCTCAGACAATGACCGCGAGAGATAGGGAGGGCCAGAGAAGGGCAGAGACATATCTGCCTCTGTCCAGTTCTGAGGTAGTCATTTCTCCTCCACTCTGGGCAGTCTTGCGTGGTGAAGGAAATGGCAACCTACTCCAGTACTCTTGCCTGGAAAATCCCATGGATGGCGGAGCCTGGTAGGCTATAGTCCATGGGGTCACGAAGAGTCTTTGGACATGACTGAGAGACTTTTCACTTTTCCCTTTCATGCACTGGAGAAGGAAATGGCAACCCACTCCAGTATTCTTGCCTAGAGAATCCCAGGGACAGAGAAGCCTGGTGGGCGGCCGTCTATGGGGTCGCACTGAGTCGGACACGACTGGAGCGACTTAGCAGCAGCTACAACTGGGCAGTCTTGGAGGCCTGGGGCGGGTGGACAGCTTTCCAGAAAAGGCTGTAGTGGCATTAACATTTCATTCGTGGGTTTTCCTCACCTGGCAGGCTATTTAGACACAGCATCCCTTAATGACTCACTTGCTCACTGTTCCAAGTTTCCACCAAACTTCGCTTCCCACTCTCTGTAGCGTGAGAAAGGGGCGTGGCATTAGGCTGAGGCTCTAGAGCTCCGCCCACTCCCCTTTTCTGATGCTGGAATCGTTGGACCAGGTGAGGCCACCTGCAAGGTGTAAGGGAGACCTCCCGCCCCATACTCCTGTTAAATACTCAGGTCTCAGGTACCTGTGTCTCTGCATCATCAATCCCTTCCTGTGTTTCCCTTCTTCCACTCAATTAAAATTAAGATGCCCCAGGGAAGTAGGACACTAAATGAATGTACGCTAATGTGATCAGCCATTTACTCACCCAGCTTCTCTTCTGCTGTCAGACTAAATATATGGGCATTGATATGGAAGGGCCCAGAAGGTGAGTAGTAAGAAATGTCAAGGCCAACACCTCTTGCTTCCCCTTTTCTTGGGCCTGGCCCTCACTCTCATTCATACAGCCACTTACTTGCCTTTGTACATCCTTCACTACTTGACAAGCACGTTCACACCTGCCAGCTCATGTAACCTTCCTCACAACTCTGTAGGTTGACAGGGAAGGTCCATAAACCCATTGCACATGTGAAGAAAGAGACCTGGAGAAGCAGAGGGACTGGTTGCAAGCAGAAGGTCCAGGAGGAGAACCCACATTCTGCCAGTTGGTCCCATTCCTTTTCCAGCACAGCCCAGGTCATAGGATGTGGCTTTAGAGCAGTTCAGCCAATGATAGTGTCAGAGCTGGACGAGCCTTAGAACTTTTGGGGACTTCACTGTGGTTTGGGGTGGTGTTCCAAAAACACGGAGAGAAGAGGACAGAGTCCCCTTGGATGTGCTGAGCAGACATCCGGGTACCAGGAGAGTGGGCAGCTTCCATGGCTCCGTATCACTCTGGGAAAGCTGGGGTTCCTTGGAAGGCCTCTGATCCTCAGGAGTCAGGGCCAGGGCACTGGGATCCACCTTCTCCTTTGCCACACACCCAGACTTGCATCCTCAGCTCTCAACAGGCAAAGATGTCAGTAAGCAGAGGGAACAAGATGCTGGTGTGAAGACAAGGGAGACAGCTAGGGACCCTCTCTGAGACTGAATGGATAGAGCAGATTAACACTGCTGGTGGAGAGTCTGAGGATGAATAATCAACTGGTGAGTAGGGAGAAAACTGAGCAAAGGGAAGAAAGCAACAGTTGCATGATATGAAACAAAGACATGTGCAGAAAAGGAAAAACCACGATAGAACACTATACGCTCAGCTATGAATAGCATTTACATACTTAAATATAAATACTGATTGTGATCTAACCACAGTTACAATGCACAATATTGGAATAAGAGGAAGGATGGGAAATCTCCTTTTTTACTGTGGGAAGTCAGGCTTCCTAGGTGGCGCTAGTGGTAAAGAACTAGCCTGCCAATGCAGGAGACGTGAAGAGATGCGGGTTCAATCCCTGGGTGGGGAAGATTTCCCCAGAGGAGGAAATGGCAACCCACTCCAGTATTCTTGCCTGGAGAATCCCATGGACATGGGAGCCTGGCAGGCTGCAGTCCATGGGGTCACAAGGAGTTGACACAACTGAAGCGACTTAGCATATAGCATATATTAGTCCCCATATATTAGTCCCATTGAACCCACTCCAGTACTCTTGCCTGGAAAATCCTATGGACAGAGGAGCATGATGGGCTGCAGTCCATGGGGTCACAGAGAGTTGGACATGACTGAGCGACTTCACTTTCACTTTTCACTTTCATGCATTGGAGAAGAAAATGGCAACCCACTCCAGTGTTCTTGCCTGGAGAATCCTAGGGACGGGGGAGCCTAGTGGGCTGCCGTCTGTGGGGTCACACAGAGTCGGACACGACTGAAGTGACTTAGCAGCAGCAGCAGCAGTCCAACAGTGAAAATGCAAAAAGCAGCAACAGATCATTATTTACAGCAGTGTTTCTCGTTCTTTAGCCTATATCAGCCACACCCTCTCTCCAGCAGCCCAGAACATCTCTCCTTCCTTGAACTTGAACTTCTCAGTGACTCACCTCTGGCACCCGTCACACCTGGAATCGGGAGGGTTCTCCGCCCAGCCTTCACCTTTGCTGACAGGTTCAGACTCATCCTTCAGGATCAGCCTGGTATCTCTTGCCCTGGCTCACCCTTCCTCATCCGGTCATCTGGGTGGGGATCCCTCTGGGTGTCTCTCACAGCTGAACCCCACCTGGCACAGCACTCACTGGTCACGCGGGCTGTCCTCGCTGACTTTTTTGCCTGAATCCTCCGGCAGACTATACAGGTTAAGAGGGCAGAGACAACGCAGGTCTGAAAGCTCTGTGGCTGCCCTGAGATCCCAGGATCCCAGCACCTTTGGAATACACTTCTCATGTTTGGAGAATTTCTCACCTTGTACGAGAAGGCCAGAAATGTATTTCCCAACCTTCCTTGAAGCCAGGGCTCAGATATGCGACCCAGGCTCCACTCATCACTTGCATCCATGCCAGACTTCAGTGAAGAAAAGGAGGCCAGGCAGAGTCATTGTGTGACAGTGGCAGGAAATGAGTTCTCAGAGGCAGCAGGGCTGAGGTCCCGGCCAAAGGGTCCCTGCCTGGGACAGTGGCTCGAGCCTCAAGCCCAAGTCCAACTGCAAGGGCCATCGAGAACTGTGTTCCCGGCAACGTGCCTGGCTGTTTAGCCGCTAGCCCCTTTCCTCACTGTTGGGGAGGTTCTGTAAGCAACCTAGTATATTTCAATAAATACTCTGATAAACTAGCTCAAGTGTGTTTTATTTTTTAACTAAGTATCAGGACAAGATGGAGAGTAACTGTCCTGCTTTAGGCTTTATTCCCAGTGCCTAGCAAATCTTGGGCAGTTAGCACTCAATACCTATTTAAGGAAACAAATGCATGAGTGAATGAATGGATGAGGGAGAACAGGTCCCCTGGATTCAGTGCCCCGGACCCCTGACTTCCCTGAGGGGAGGCATGTGCATGGCAGTAGATGTTTCCAGTCCTGCCCCTTCTCAACTAGGAACCACACATCCAGGTTCACACCCAGGCCATGCAACCCCAAACCCCAAGTGAAAAAAGGACAAACAGCCCCTGTTTTGCAGAGAATAGCACCCTGAAGACATATGACGATCTCTTTCACCCCAGAGAAGGGGAAATCATACGGGTGACTTCTCTCACTCCTGCAGGTGGGTATAAGCACACACCACCACTTTTCTTATTTTTAAACTGAATTTTTAATTTTATTTCTTATGTATTTATTTTAATTTTGACTATGTTGTGTCTTCATCACAGTGCAAGGGCTTTCTCTAGTTCTAGCGCACGGGCTTAGTTGCCCTGAGACATGTGGTATCTCATTTCCCTGACCAGGGATCGAACCCGGATTCCCTGCATTGGAAGGCAGATTCTGAACCACTGGACCACCAGTGAAGTCCTGTTTTCTTTTTTATTTTCTTTGCCCATTGTGAGCCCCTCCAGCTGGAAAGGCTGGTTTTGCTCATGCTCAAGGACTGTGTGGTGTGTGCATGCCTCACTCCTCCTCCACGTCTGAAATGAGCTTTGGGGAACACAAAGCCATGCTTAGCAACAGCCTGCCTGGGGATTGATTGCTAGGGGGTCACTGCACACCACGCTGTGCTTTTTGCGGAACTCAGAGCTGGTTGCTTAGCAACAAAATGAGATGCTGGTTTAACTAGTTCTAGATCTACATTTTCCTAATCAACACAGGGAAAAGACCCGGCCAGCCTTGAGAAGAGAGAACGCTTGTTCATTGTGGGTGAGCGCTCACTCTGCTTTAAAAGTTGGCCAAAACTTTAGTGACCACACATTAACAACAAAGCACTGCCCACTGTGTTGGTTACAATTCAGTTAATCCTCACCATAACCCCGTGAGACGGCACCAGCATTAGCTTCGATTACAAATGAGGAAACTGAAGTACGTGGAGCCCAAGATGATGCAATCAGCAAGAGGTGGTATGGACATTAGAACCCCGATTGTCTCTGCTCCAGAACCCAAGCTTTTGTCAACTAAGTTAAAATGCCCCCCTTCTGTAGGCACTCCCAGATGCCTCTGCCTTAAAATAGCTAAGGCAGAATGGACATTCTTCAGCCACATAAAAAGTTAAGCTGCAGGGACTTCCCTGGTGGCAGAGAATCCACCTGTGCATGCACGGGACACAGGTTCAATCCCTGGTCGGGGAAGATTCCAAATGCCACAGAGCAACTAAGTCCATTCACCACAACACCCAGAGCCCATGCTCCTAGAGTCTGTTCTCTGCAACGAGAGAAAAACCACCACAATGAGAAGCCTGCACACCTCAACGAAGAGTAGCCCCTGCTCGCTGCAACTAGAGAAAGCCTGAGTGCATCTACAAAGACCCAGTACAACAGCAACAGAAGTTAAGATGAGTTTAACATACTTCTTCCATCTTAAGAACGCTCATCAGTGAAGGACCTGGCTTTGATAGCCAGCCACATCCCCGCCCCCCGCACGACACATCACGAAGAAGATATTCTAATGACAGTTTCTTTGACTCTCCACCCACCTGTCACTCTCCAAATCCAGCAGAATGTCAATCAGATTCTAATGTGGCCCAGGGGACACTCTTAGCCCCAGTGTCCCCAGGGGTCTGACCTGGTTCAGAGTGATGGGAGGCTGTGACTCGGGTTGAGGGGGCATGGGGGGCAGTCTGGCTGGAGAGAGAGAATTGGGAGGAAAGAGTGTCCTTGTGGGAATTGTTAGCCAGGGGTGACCACACCCCTCTCCAATGCCCACAATCTCCTGGTGAGACTCACCTGGCACCCAGGACACCCTTACTGAAAGCCCCAGGGAACAAGACATGTCTCTTTCTCCTCTGCCCAAAGATCCACTTAGACCCTACTCCAAAACCTCAGCCTTTTACCTTCGACCCTGCCCTTCCTGCATCCTAGGTGTTCAGGCCAAGGCACTTCTGTTCTAGCTACTTTTCGGCGTCTGCCTATGATCCTCTGGGCTGCTGCCTCCTAGCCCAGGTCTCTTTTTCTAAGTTGGAGCTTCTTTACCTCCTTTTCATCCTCAGCCCCTCTCCCTCCTTCTAGTTTGTTCTTTGCATCTCTCCTGGGTTAAGAGGTGGGGGGCTTCGGGAAAGAAAGAGGCAGGTGGGCGACCAGGCACCACTCGTTCTCTTGGGCTTTGGAACATCTCCCACATCCTCCCTAGATTCTACCATCTCTTCCCAAATTCTGTTTCCTTTTAAAAGTCCCTTGGGTTGACTTTTCCCTTGACCTGTGGTCAGCAGCCATTGTTGTCCCTCAGGCAGTGGACGAGGGAGCTGTGAAGTCATTTCATTAGCATATGTGTCACCAGTTTGAAACTAAGTTTAACCATGAGGACCAGATGTCCTGTTACATTCTTAATAATCATTACATATGTAGCAACTTACACACATTACAAAGATTACCCTGTTTGTGTCTTGGGTGATAACCCAGTTAACTTTTCACATCATTTGCATTTCTTTCATTATTTACTGTTAAATTTGCATGTCTGATTCTATTACTGTGTTGTCTTATATCTTCAAGTCCAAAATTGAGTCACTGGCTGCAAAGTGGCTTGTTGAATGGAATGTGACGGAATGGAGATGATATTTTAGAGAAAACAGGTGGTGAGAAAGCAGGTTATGGAGGCTATGGAATAATCAGTGTCTAAATTTGATATTAGGTATTGGAAAGCAATTAAAGGTTTTTGTCTGTTTGCTTGCATGTTTTTTTAAATGTGAAAATTTCTTTTTCTATTTACAGTCCCAACCAGCTTACAGGAGATGGGATTCTATCAAAAAGCAACATTTATTGGCAGAATAATCTGGCAAGTTTGAGATATAAGACAGCAATTCTTTGGGATGCTAAGAGGAACAATCATTGGAATTCTTAGCTGGTAGTAGCTCCAGAATTTCCACTCTGCAGGGCATTGGAGATTTAATTGGCACAGAGCCCAGAAGCTAAATCCCCTTCTTCAAACCAAAACTTGTTACCCACCATCGTTTCTAGGGCTAACCTGAGAGGCAGGCAGGGAGGACGAGAGATGGAAGAGAGAAAGAATGAAACACAGGCGGGCTCTGTATGAGTGGGGCTGTATGACCCGCCTCTACTCACACTGTGTGGCTCAGGACCTCAGAGTGATAAATGTAAAATGCCAAACACATAGCAGTTCCTCAAGAACTGTCTACTCCCTGCCTTTTCTCCCCTCTGCCTCATGTAATATGCCCCATTACTGAGAATCTGCCTGGTCCATCTCTTTCTTCAGCTCCTTGTGTAGTAAGTGCTCAGTGAATGTGTGTGTGATAGAATAAGCCATAATTTGCTAACGCTTCTACCAGCTTTGAACCTTAAGTCGGTTTTAAACTCTTCTTCTTTATCAATATCACTACAGTGAATATATTTGTTCCTATTTTGGATATGGACTCAAGTAAGTAGAAATTGTGGGTCAAGGGGTGAGTTTCTCCCAATTATTTTCCTATGTGTCTGTATTAATTGATCATTCTGCCAGTCTTGTATAAAATGGCATTGGTTTTTCCACCTTCTCATTAATTTGGGGTATTTCCATTAAAAAAAAAGATGCAAGTGTGTGAAAATGGGACCTTATTCTTTATTTTAAATTTGACTTGTGAGACTGCACATTTCCAATGCCTGTTTACTAGTTTTATTTCCTCTTTGGTGTGGGTTGTCAGCTCACATCCTTTGTTTATTAAACTACAGGATTTTAAGCATTTTTCCTATCAATTTGTATAAAGTATTTACAGGCTAAAGATATTAACTCCTATTTTGGTTGCTGCAATTCTTTTTCCACTCTGCTGTTGACTGTGTTATTGAAGTTCTGCTGCATGATTTTATTTCTGCTTTACCATGATCAATTTTAATTTTTAAAAAGGTTGCAGTTGTATTTTTTTTTTTTTCCTGGAAAATTTACACTTAGAAAGTTTTTCTTCATACACAGATGTGGTAAATATTCACTTCTATTTTCTTCTGGATTTTCTCCCTCCAATAGCTTGTTGTTAAGTGTGTAACTCTTGAATGTAGATGGAATTAAATTAGTATCTGGTATATGGAGAGAGATCAGGGCCAGAGATATCTTTCTGAATTACTAATTAGGAATTCCTTAACAATGTATTAAATAACTCTTCCTATCTCTACATGAAGCCTCCTTTGTTATATACTAAATTTATATGTAATATGATTTTTGTGTCCCTTCCTTCTACTTAACGTTTTAATGCATTGGTCAGAATTTCCAAAAGGACATAATATAAAAATGGTAACACTGGGTTTCCTGGGTTAGTTTTTGGGAGTAATAATGGGCTGATTTGAATTTACTCAGAGATCCTGGGAATTTAAGGCCTAAAGTGAACCTCCTTTAGCTAGGCAAGAGAGGCCCAGTCACAGGACCCACAGATCACAAATACCAGCTGACAAAACTGTTGTTATTATCTCTATCTTGTTAGAGATTTTTGAGCTTTGTGACTGCTTTGGTCAAAGTGAATTACAGGAGAGGAAGTGCTGAGCAGAACTGGGCCTCCCAGTGAGATAAGAGATAGATAGGCTCCAGGCTGGACATTTACGACTAGCCTCCTGTTTGCATTTCCTGAGAGGAAAGGTAGGTGGGCCCCAGTTGAGGAATTTACAATCAGCCTCCTGTTTACAAATAGCTAGTCCTTGTCTCTTGTAAACATCTCAAGGTAATAATCATGGCAAGGACTAAAAGGGAAAAAACAAAAAACCGAGGAAAGGATTAAGGGA